TGGGAGAAAGCTTCAGTGATAAATATTTTTTAAATATTATTCTTGTATTGAAAAGGAAATAGCTGTCATCATCCATTTGCCTTTATTGGTAAATATCGGTACTGCTATAATAGGGGAGGATATATGTCATATATAAATATCATAAAGGGTTTAATCCATTGGCAAAGTCGAGTACCATCACCTGTTTTCCTTGACCGGAGCTATTTATATTTATATCACATTAGCAAAAAGTAAAAACTATAATGTAGCGTATACTTACCTAACGATACGAGTGCTACTTAATAATACACTGTATATCCAACTCGATTGGGCGCTCTGGAAACTAAGTACACAGGCCCCTGTCTTAGAGTCCCATACTTTCAGTGTACGGTCATAGCTTCCGCTTACAATTTTACCCTACAACAGGCAAGATGGTCAAAATCCGATCAGATTCTTTTTTATGTCAAGCTTACCTCTAAGCAGTCAATAGATCGAACGATGCCTGCATGTCCAATCAATTCACTCACGCAGTTACCTGTTGTAATATCCCAACGCAAGATCTTACCCTCTAACCCACCACTATAAAGAAACTTTCCATCAAACCGTACACATGCCAGGCCGAGCTTATGTCCTTCGAATGTTCGCAAACATTGGCCTGTCTGAATATCCCAAAGCTTGAGTCTAGTGTCCCCTGATGCGGAAACGATTTGATTTCCACCAACATACTCTAGTGCGTTAACAGAAGCAGAGTGTCCGAGAAGTTGTCGGAGTTCAACCCCTGTATGTCTGTCCCAAACACGTAACGTATGGTCTTTAGAAGACGTAACAATCCTGTTGTTACCTACGAGACAAACGTCCAAGACACTATGGCCATGGCCCCTGAGCTGTACTCTGTGCTCAAATTTAGGGAGAGACCAAAGGATGCAGGTCGCATCGGAAGAGCCAGTGATCAGGAGATTGTTTTTTAAATCCACCTTCATACAGAGGATACTTCCCGTATGATGATCTTTGACTGTCTTGACGCATGTTCCTGAAGGCACATGCCACACTTTTAAAGTTCGATCTCTGCTTCCTGTCACCAGAATATTTTTATCAATCCATGCTGAACAGTATACACTGTCTGTATGGCCCTGCAAAAAGCGGGTAGATACTTTCCCGGTCAACCAGCGTTGTTCAAGTGTTAAATGATTGCGGTACAGGGCCAGGTGACGGGGCTTTATAACTGCGCTGCTTTTTCGTCTCTTGACTGAATGGTTACTCAATGGACTACTCCAAGGAAAGTCTGTATAAAATAATTTGCGCCACAGGTCATCATCATGACATACAGTATACATTGTACGGCAAGTTCGGGAAAGTGTCTGAATGCTGGTGAAATCCAGAAAATACAGTATTTGAAAGATAACTTCATGAGGTAATGTGATAAGTATTGATCCTATATGTATGCAAGTGTAAGCTATTATTTCATAATGATTTTTTTAAAGCATTACGATTGGTTTGATTTGTTTGTAAATCACAACTTGAATAAAATGAGGAGGATGAGCCTCGACGAGGATTTGGGTAGACTTTAAGTTTAGGAAGAATGGAGGCTAAATTGGAAGATACTTTTAATTTCTTGATTGGTAAAAATGAAGAAGGATTGTTGCTGTTGTAGTTGGGGTTGATACACTTGGTCTTTGCTGTTGCACCATCTTTTGTAGGCGAGATGGTGATATAAGTCGTAGTAAATACATTTTCCTTTAACCGTTTGTGTTGTTCAGAAGTGGTAAAAAGTATCGATAGAGAATAAGTCATGTTGATGATTTAAAAGAAGAAAAAGGCCATTCCAATGAAAGAAAGAAAGAGGGACAAGGAAAAAGACTTGTAAAAAAGTTTAAACCTTTTATGTAGTTGATTTCATGTGTGATCCAAAAAAATGGTAATTTGCGGAGTCTTGGATCAAACTTATGCTTTTTTTTTTCTTGTGAAATAAAAGCTCAGAAGAGCGGGGGAAGATGAAATTACTTTAAAAGGAATTTTTTTATATGGGGAAAAATGTCTACCCAATGTGACATAGTCATTAATAAGAATAAAAGAGAAAGAGAAATAATCATAACAGAGTTATGATTGAGATTTATTTTTTTATTAGAATAGTAAATTATTAGGTTTGGATATGGTTTTGATTTTGAGTGTAGCTAAATGAGGTATAGCACTAAATCTTATAGTTCCTCTCTTTAATTTCTTTTCTTTTGCATTGTCACCTGCATAGAATTAAAATAGTGATGAGATCATTTGATGAATACAAGTAATCATATAAATTCCTATTCTGGTAAATCAGCGTTTTTAACTTTTTAACAGTGCTCTTCTACAGGATTTTCAGGTTGACTCTTTTATTAAAACACCGATAAACCATGAGAAAAGTCGTACTTGAAACCAGTTGATCTTTACATAAGCTTATCTGATGCATATTTACAACAACCATATTAACTTTTTATTCCTATAGCTCATATGTCTTTCCTTGCTGAAAAATACTCCCACTGTAGCTTATGTAGATACTTTCTTACGTTATTCATTAGAGAAAATGGCATTTAATCTTTTTTTTTTGTACGAATAAAGCTATTATACACTTTGATCACACACTGATAGAAAAAAATGATAATTTCAGACAACAAATGAGATAACAAATAATAATAAAAAAGAGCCCATCAGAAGTAAAAGAAATGATATATAAAAGAACTGTTTAGCAAATCAGTTACATGTTACTTATAGGTGTTGACCACATTATACAGGTCTCAAAAAGGTGAATATCGCTTTTATATTATTATGCGCTGTCAAGTTGAAAATAATAAAGAAAAGATTGATAATCAACTAAGGTGTAATTGATCTTGTAGTATGTGTCAATAATTTCATAAAGCTATTATATAAACTTTACAACTAATCAGGATTCTGAACTTTACTGCTTCAACCAATATTCGAGTGTCATGCGATACTATCAAATATATGAATAATCATATGAGCTAAAAGTCATTATTACAGCATTATTCGTTACACCATCAAGTCATGTTCAAACCCTGCAGCTCCCTAAACCAATGCTATTCAATATTGCAACATTACATTGTTTCATATAAAAGTGAATTGTGACGGAGTTTACTTGCCGCCCTTCAGTAACTCTTGCCCCTTACAAAAGTCACGGAGCCTTTGTGTTTCTTTTTATAATGAGCCATTTGGCAAAAGTAGCATAAAGCCCTTTCCTCTACCAAAAATAACAAGTAAACTAATGCTTATTTATTAGCGCACCTTATCAACTGCAGCCAAGACTCGTCTTGTATTTTCTGGAATTCAGCCTACGGGCTCACCTCACCTTGGCAACTACCTTGGCGCATTAGCTAATTGGGTTAAACTTCAAGACCCTGATCCAGCCACAGAAAGTATGTCCATACCTTACTACAGCATAGTTGATTTGCATGCGATTACTATGCCCCAAGATCCTGCTCAATTACGAGAAGCCAAGCTCAACATGGCTACGACATTATTAGCTTGTGGCGTCGATCCCAATCGCAGTGTTTTATTTGAGCAAAGTCGGGTCAGAGCACACTCTGAGCTTGCTTGGATCTTCAATTGTATCACTCCTGTAGGCTGGCTTGGCAGAATGACCCAATGGAAGTCCAAGCTAGAAAAGAGTAAAGGTATTGGACATGGGTCTGCTCTGGCAGACGAAAGTCTAAAAGCGGATTTAAAAATGGGCCTTTTCGACTACCCTGTCTTGCAAGCGGCTGATATCTTGCTTTATAAAGGAACACATGTTCCTGTAGGCCAGGATCAGATGCAGCACCTCGAGCTGGCACGCGACATTGCTGATTTATTCAACAAGACGTTCAAAACAGACATGTTCCCTAAACCAAAGGCTATTATACCTCCTGCCACACAACGTGTCATGTCCCTCCGTGATCCAAATTCCAAAATGTCAAAGTCAGATATCTCCGATATGTCTCGAATCAACCTTACAGATTCTCCTGCTTTGATAAAGAAAAAAATCATGAAGGCCACGACAGATTCGGTTACTGGTGTATCCTACGATCCTGAAGTCAGGCCAGGTATATCCAATCTGGTGAGCATATATTCTGCAGTAAAGGAAATTAGTATCGAAGATGCCCTAAAGAAATGTGCTTACATCACTAGTACAAAGGAATTTAAGGAGACAGTTGCTGAGGCAGTGATTGAAAGGCTACAGCCAGTACAAACTGAATTAGCTCGACTTCAAGCAGATCAAGGTTATGTGAAGCAGGTGCTTGATCAAGGTGCAAATAAAGCGGAAGAAGTAGCAAACAAAACAATGGAGGAAGTGTATAAAGTAGTAGGGCTTCGATAGATTTTTATTTCTTTTGTTTTTTGTTTTTTTTTTTTTTGAAAAATAAATATTATAAAAGTTGTAACTGGGCACTCAAACCATAATGATCTAATCAAATTAAGATTTCTACACACTGCAAGAATTAAAGACATACCTGATATCTGTGTAAAAGAAACGGTCTTCTTCTTAACAAAAAAAGGCTCGACTGTTATGTTTGTAAGCTTCATAGAGTGTTTCTCTTTGCGATCAGCCCACAAAAGCCTGTCGATGCTTTGTACTGTGAGCAATTGATTATGGCTTGTTAGTGATGTCTCTGCTGGTATAAAGGTGCCGTTATCAAGCACTTTGTAATCTCCAAATGTGACAGGATGATATCCAAATGTCTCGTAGACTGCATCAGTTAGGGTATCAAGACGCCAGGGATGGGAGTATAGTATTGAGCTATCGGCACCATTTGTCAAATCAGCAAGGTTGATGCCTTTGCCTCTGAGAACATCCATCATCATCTTGTAGGCAAACGAACTTTCATGAGGACGAACGTTAATAGGTATACTTTGATTATGCATAGCAGCATCCACATTAAGATCACCCATAAGCAAGATAGGGTAGTCATCATCTTTGGCTGTCTCTGCAATAAACTGATGCACCCTTGCGAACTGTGACAGTCTAACCTTTGTGTCATCCAAGTTGAAGCTACCAGCGTTATCGTAGGAAGCTTGTGTATGTGTAGTATAGATGTGGAGTAGACTGTTATTGTTCAGCTGTACGAGTGCATGCAGAGCACCTTTGTAAGAGAGCCTATAATATTACATCCGTTAGAAATTACGTTTTCTTTTTTTTTTTTTTTTTTAGTATCCTTTACCAGTCTGCATGTACACCACGAGAAAACTCAATTCTATCTGCCTGTACAATAGGAAACTTTGAGAGGATAAGCAGGCCACCATCACCAGCAAGCTCCCAAGGATAATGGCGGGATGATGCAACATGGTGATAGAAACCCTGGTCATAGGCTTTCACAAGGAGCTTGTCCACTCGTCTGTTAGCAAACGCAAATGCTTCTTGAAAGGTAATAATATCATAGGATGGTAAGATGTGTTCTATAATATAATCTAAACGTTGTTCTTTATAGTCATTGGCATTATTTTTTACACCTGGTGGTCTCATGAATATATTTAGTGTCAGCAGTCGCACTGTAGACGTTGCATAATTTGACACTCCAAGTGACTTTGCTGGAAGGTGTATTGGCGAGAAATATACAAGGGAAAACAGAACGAAAGAAACAAGTGGCAGGATAAATAAGACAAGACATGTGATAATAAAGGATCTTTTGGTGCGAAAACAACAGCAGTAGCTATAGGGTCTCAACCTGTTATGCGTAGAATGATTCTTTGATGTTTGCCAACGAAAAATGTTACAATGCCTTTTTCCGCTCCACCGTAGGTACAAAAGACTATCTACTGCTGTATCGTTGCCATCTTTTCCTCCCATCGCGCTGGTTTCATCCAAAAGAGGCGCATTTTCATAATGATCATCGTCTTGACTTGCTTTGAATTTTTTAATTGGGAGCATTACTACCGTTTCTGAGGTTTCATCACTGCCACGTCCCGTATCAAATGAAGCATAAGCTGCTGTATCAAAGCTTTCAAAGCTCTCTCTAGATGGGTTCATATAATAGTAAGAGGAAAAAAAAAAAAAAAAGAAAAGGACGATGTCATGGAAAAAAGTTTACTTTTTTATTGTTCTACGGATTTTGGTCTCCGTTCGTGGTATTCTCGGTGGATGAAGTTTATCCGTTTTATGACCTAGTTCCCATTTTCCTCATCCAACCATGTCAAAAGGTGTGGTGTATAATAAGTCAAGATGAGTGTAGCACCAGCGCGTAAAAAGCCAGTCATGGAGTCAAGTACGATTGTCTTTAGATCAAAGACACCAGCTTTGGCGGAATGATAAAGCATTGAATATTCTCCCGAAACCTGGTACACAGAAATAGGATAGTCAGCAGCAATTTCCGCTGCTTCTCTGACGATATCGAGGTAAGGCAAACCTGGTTTGACCATGATGCAATCGGCGCCTTCTTCCATATCGCGCTTAATTGCACGACGGGCCAAACCACGGGCATTGGATGGGAGCTGGTAACACCGTCTGTCACCGAAAGCAGGTGCAGAATTGGCAGCGTCTCTGAATGGACCATACCAAGGGCCCGAAAATTTAGCAGCATACGAAATAAGCATTACCTTATGTGCTAAGCCTGCTTCCATAAGCCCTTCCTTAATTGCTCTGATACGGCCGTCCATCATATCGGAAGGAGCAACACATTGTGCTCCAGCTTTTGCGTAGTTGACAGCAACTTCTTTCAAACGTTGAATAGACAGTCCATTATTCAAGGTTCCATCTTCTCGTAAAATACCGCAGTGGCCATGCGATGTGTATTCGCACAAACAAACGTCGCAGGCGACAAATAAGTTGGGAAAGTTCTTTCGCAGCAAGCGAACTGCTAATATAGTAGGTCCTTCGGGGTCGTCTGCACGAGAACCTGTGGGGTCCTTGACACCTTCCTTTAAAGGAACGCCAAACAATATGACGGACTTTAACCCCTTCTTGTAGAGCGGTTCAATAAATCCAGCAAGCTTGTTAATGCCAATACGATATTGTTCAGGAAGTGATTCAATAGGCTCCAGAGCATTTTCGTCGTCAGTAATGAACAAGGGGTACATGAGCATGTCCTTAGTTAAACTACGTTCTGCTTGCCATGAGCGTGATAAAGAATAGTGGTAGCCACCATGAAGAATGGAATTAGGAGTGGACATGTCAAAAGAAGGGTTATTGTGAAAAAAAAGGCTGTTTCATGATTGTTGGAAGGGGAGGGAGACAGAATATATTTCAAATACCGCCCATTTTAGCTTTACACGTTAACCAGTGCCTAGTCATCTTTAAAAGTGATACAGCTTTTTCTGCCGGCCAATACTACACGCACCAGAAAGTAGGCTAAATAATACAAATACAAAGTTATCATAATCACACGTGTTCTTGCATCTTTGTTGGCAACGCCTGACAACATAAATAACAACATTTCTTTTTTATCTTGTTCTTCTTGAAAAGAAACAAATCAAGATGGCGACTTTATAAAGCCATGTTTAACTTGACGCTACACATTGAAAAGTTCTGTTGGATGGTATCGCAGGTAGTGCGTAGAGATATCGCCCCTAGAAATAGTCTAGCTTCTGATGTATACTCTGGTGCATGTAGCGTTTCCCTTTTCTACAAAATGCGACATCTTGGAACGGCATTACTTTCTGGAAACAGTATATTAGACTTGTCATATAATGTTCCTCATGCTCAATCAAGCATTTTCTCTGCAGAACATTGGCATCCTCTGCGAAAAATGTACAGCAAAAAGCCAGATCATGCAAAACAATTGTGTGTGAATAAAAAAGCTTCAGACATTTTATCAGAAGCAGAATCAATAGCGAAATCAAGTCTTTCTGAAGCTAGCTACTACATATACAAGTACTTGTACAAAAACAAGAAAAAGCCTACCCAAGATGAAGAATTTATACTGCACACATACGCTTTTGTTTTGGGATTTATTGAATATAATCAACAAGAACATTAAAAAAAATGAACAAGACTGCATAGTTAAATTCTGGGACCAATCATGGAAAAACTTGTTCAGAAGGCAACTTTGAGGTTAAAATGGTGGGCAGAATCTTTAATGTTTTATTTGGTTACTAAATATATTGATTTTTCACAAGGGATGAAGGCTCTTGCTCGATATTAGTCAACGCTTTACATGCAGATCTCCGTGTAATTCATGTTCAGGTGGAAGGGCAACAACTTAAGGAATATGGCATGATGCAAGTTGAAGCAGCCCACATATCACCAACGACACAAAAGTCTGATTTTGATCACATCAAATTTCTTGTTGAAACAAAAGATAACCTTGATGCCTTGGAAGAGCACGTTGATCATGGACTGTGCTGTATACAGTTCTGCGGATTAAAACTATATATATCAACTTACGCACGCATTTGATACCCTTTATATAAATAACAAAGTTGCTTTCAATTCTATCCCCCAGATGTAACGTCTTTCAAGTTCTTGAAAGACCTCTGCTCAATCCTCTTAGCTACTAAGAATGAATGGATCTGTCGTATTTCTACATTTATATCGAAGAAGATTATACACTCTTTGGCTTATGTACGAAATATATTGCTTATTTGACGGCAAAGTTATCTTAAATATCAACATAATACCTCATATTAAGTCTACAACATCGATACATGACATCTATAGTCTGTAGTAGTTGACGACTCATCATATTAATATAGTCAATGGATGATGACAGCATTGTTATTTAATTTTAAAGATCAATTTCTTTTTTGCTATGAATCTCTTCCTTATTCTGTTAATAAAAGGATTACAAAGAGACACATTCCATCCTATTGTATTTCTAATTTTCCGAGTTAAAACAGCTATTATTTGATAATATTACAGGATCGGCGTCCAAAGTATAATCATACTAGCCAAGAATATCCCAAAAGCAGCATACCCAAAATTGAGCAATGATGTTGCAAGGGGGTCAGTCCAGTTGCAGCTCTTGCTTGACCTGCCTCAGTACTTGAAGGACTTGCTTGCAAGTATAGGCACTCAAGGAAGGCGTTTTAAGGACAACCTTCGCCAGTATAACGCTGCTTTTGCGTTTACTTCCTTAGGCTGCGACATTGCCTCGGCTGAGGATCGTGCCGACAGCAACAGCAACAACAATAACAATAAAGGTGGATTAAACGCCTTTCAAATCCATAGCGCGCTTTGCCACCGTCAAGGCCCCTTGACTCCAGTTGAAGGCAGCGAGCCTTCCTATGCCCAGCTGTATATCTTTGATCCTTCGTATACCGCTGAAAGAAGACAAGCACGAAACAGCAGCCTGGGCCTGAGGTCATTAGAGAGCTTTTAGCTATGCTTGTTCAATGTAAACCCTTTGCACGTGTATATCGCCATGCGTATGAGGTACTGAGCAACCATGAAAGCAGCAACATTGTCAGTAATGGTAATGATCAAAAAGAAGCCAGTGCACCATATATAATCATCAGCCCATCAATGAGAATGCGTTTAATTGAAGGAGGCGACAGACGCATTCACAGCCTGCCAAAAATGGAGGAGATTGCCGCTGTTATACCAATCGAGTATAGTGATAGAGGCTTCCATGATGCTGTTCTTACCTTCAGAAGCAATAACAATCTTCGTCAAAACACTGGATTTGAGCAGCACTTTCAACGTATCAGCCATGTGCATGCTACATACATGCTAATACACTATGTACTTTTATTTCCTCATAAAACATATGGGTGGCGTTAGGGTTTGTGCCTCTTCTTTTCCTTCTTTACCGTTACTTCTTCGATCACTATTCCTGATGTTTAAATGACATCTTGCGCCATTTTAATATCCTTATCCCATCACTTTTATAAAGATAACTACTTTGAAGACCACAGTAAAATGTACGATGTGCCAAAATTGGAGCGCTTTTCATTCCAACATTTTACCATTAAGAAAACATGATTAATTAATAAAAAAAAATGTTGTCGATCATTAATCTAACATGATAAAGCTAACATAGTTACTTTTCCTTTTTCCTTTTTTCCTTACTTCAATATGAAGCGAAAGAAAGATGATGACCCTCCGCCTCCAAAGGCAAAGCGAAACAAAGGGAAAGGTATGTAAGCTATAAAGTCGATATGTCATTTATTAAGGGTCCATTAGCCGTCGATCGCGGGTTCCCTTCTTTGTTTTCACAAACGTAAACAAGTTTATTCAAGAACACATCTTTCGAAGCAAATGATGATGGTTTTCAAGAAACACCATTACTTAGAAAAGGTAAAGATAGTATCTATTAGATCCAACTGTTTTATAACATATTATTGTAATAGGCAAGAACGTCCATACTGCTTTGAAAGCTGCTAAAGAAGACACATCTTCTCCTGGTCCCTTAAATGCTGTCATCAATGAAAATGCATCTATGCCTGTGGTCAACAAAGATACGAGTGCTCAAGCTGTATTACCTGCTCCTATTACTTCCACTAGCTGTACTTCTACTCCCATCAAGGCCTCTTAGAAATACCAAAGCAAGGTTGATAAAACTGAAGTACTTAAAAAGGAAAAAGAAAAGAACAAAGTGACAGGCAATGAGCAAAAACAAGTACGATGCCCTTCTTGTGGTGGAACTGATTACTCTCGCTCCTCCAACAAGTTGTGTCTTATGAATAAGCCAAAAATGAAGCCTCCAAAGCCTAAAGATACCGTCGAGAAAACTTTTGTAATCAAGGCATCTTTGGCTAATACTTGCAGATATCCCAAGTCCGTTACCTTGATTCAAGAAGTAGTTGACCATACTACTCAGCTGGTATATGTTGAATTCATCTTTGCTAATTACTATTTCTTGGAACTTCTCGAAAATGGCGAAGAGCTATCTGTGGTCACTCAAAATCTGTTTTATAACATAATTTTCACCTTTGTTGGTCAAGGAAAGCACGCCTCTGATAGTATCAAGAAGAGCTTCAAAGCCTTTTGTGAATCTACTTCTCTTACTCAATCTGACTTGGAAAATTGTGCAAGTAAAGGATATATGACCATTGTGTCTTCTATGGCTAAGCAATATGAAACACTGGTTCGCAATTAAGTTTGCTCTACTTATGGAGATCGAACTCTCAGATATATCCTTAATGTCTTATCAGAAAGGGCTACTTCTTACTTCTGTGGTGATAGCTTAGCAGTCAAACAGTGCAAGTCTTTAGCCAAACACGTTTTTCAACAAAAGATAAATCCCAAGTCTGCCTGGCCACTTCACTGTTGACCGAACTGGATGGTATGAAATCATTGTCAATAACTTTCTTACCCTCTGGTCAATGTACGATGCTTCCAATGATGCTGACGTGTCAAGTGAAGCTAATCTGCATGCCAAGCCTCAATGCTATATGAAATGGTTACACTTTATACAGAAAGAAATGAACAAAAGAATTTCATTCAAGAACTGAAACCTCAAGATAAAGCATCAAGCAGTTATGTCCATCGAAGGTTACAAGAACTTCCTTTTGTCAAGAAGTTGAATACAAGCAAGTACAGGTCATTTAAAGAAAGCACACTGACCGCTATCAATTCCAACAAGTTCTTGGAAATAACAAGCAAACTGAAGAGCATTGATAAAAAGGATATTGGTACTGTTCAAAGCTTTATCAAAACAGTACAAGCAAGAATCAAAGACAAGACTTTCATGCCTCTCAAGTACATTAACCCTCGAGGATCAAGATGCTTTTCTTTACTTTCCCTGTACAAGATTGATTTCAAGAGTATGCAGATTGATGCTCAGTCTTTCTGGAAGCTTGCCAAACAATATGATAACAAGGTCAGACTAGGTTAAAAGAATGATAATGACCTAACTTTATGGCGCTTTAATGTCTTTGATTTTTCAAAAATAGGCTACAAGATACTTGAAAGCTTAACCCTACGTTCAAAGAAGTTTACGTACGTATGTTTACATGGCTTTTATTTTTGGACTAAACAAATGTTGACATTGTAGAAATGTGATCACTACTGATGGTTATGCTGTATCCTTTATGTTTAAGAAAACTGTTTCCATCCAAGATGAACCTAGAAGAGAACCAAAGACTCCCAAGGATTTTGCTGATATAGTTGATGATGCAGAGATTTGAGCTGTTGATCCTGATATATCAACTATCTTTACTGCAGTTGACTCTACAGAACATGAATGTATCCAAACAGCAAGGTTGGAGGAATACAATCATTTATGTGGTTACAGACTTGCTACAAGAAGACGAAAAGAATACCAAGAGTGTCATTAGACGAATTTAAGTATGTTAGTGAATTACCTTAAAGACTGCAAACTTGACCTCGTTTTTACTAGCTGCCTCCACACATCTATAGAACTATCAAAGAATCCATAACTACTACTGTCAAGGTAAATGGTATGTCGCTCTCTGGCATGGTGTGTATTTTAATAACGCTGCGTATGATATAGGTATCAAAGCTAAAGTTCAAGATGTATATCAACAAGCAAAAAGGAACACAAGAAATTGTTAAAAGACTCCTTGACAACAGCAAAAAGTATGGCACATCAAGCACAGTTGGCGCTAAAAATTAAAACCCAAACAAAAGCAAACATGTCCTCTACCCCCTGCTGACTTCCCTTCCTCCTCTCAACGGAAGCGGATCATTGTGTTCGGAAATGGTTCTTTTTGTTAAGTTTGAGAGGGAAACAAGCTTCGCCTACAAGACATATTACCGAAGGGATCAAACGAAAACGCAAACAATCTAACGGGAGACCGAATTTGTTTATGTTGACGAGTACTTAACGAGTCAGATATGTAACAAGTGTAAAATGAAAGAAATGAATAATTTCTCTGTTTCTGGATCAAAGCGAAGAGCATATGCTGTCCTCAAGTGTGAATTTTATGGTACGGTTTGAAATCACAATGTGAGCAGTGCGTTGAATATATAGTATCTTTGTTTACAAACCAAAACATGACAATGAAAGTCCTCCCACCTTCAAAAGACTAACGGTGCTCCCTGGATTTAATGCGCTGTCTATAGCGGCAGTGCATTCCTTAACGTTTCGGCAAGTATAAAGTGAGTAATACATTACTTTTTATTCATTAGTCTTCTAGTTATTAGTATACATATTATAGTTCATACATTGTAAGAATAAGAAAAAAACAACTAAAGAGCAGTGAATATTTTAAGGGCTATAAAAACTTAGCCTGCGTGTAATATTAGTTTCCTTTTAGAACATCGTTTATTTACGTATGTATACATGTAGATGCATACGTCTGTGTATACAGCACACATGTCTCCTTTCCAAGAAAATTACGTAGCCAGAAAGGATGGGAAGCCAAATGGTCGTACCATCAACTCGATATTCTTTACTATTGATGATTTCCTTTATATAAATCTTCTATAATGTGTATGATTTTCATTGTGTCGTCTATTGATTATGGTAAATCAAATTTATTCAGTTACGTCGTAATACAGATCCGATCATTAGGCGAATTCAAGTTACAGCTCTTGCAAGCATAACCTAATCATTGTATGTTGATTACCCAAAAGTTAAAGGATAAACAACACTAACTTCAATTATACAGTGCTTACTACGTTATTTGAGAATTTCACCCGCAGCATAAGGCTATTTTGTAACTCAATAAAACGACCTCATCGCTAAGCATGAAACAAAAAGATTAGTAAATAGGCTTTTTTGAAACAACAAACTGCATAGTTCTCAGAAGTAGTCTTATTTCACCAAACTGGTTCATTCTTGTTGATTACCAACAAATTGCGTTTGTAAAAAAAAA